TAAAAGGAAACATTTTTGTTGTTAGTAAGTAATGTGGGCTTCACGCAACAGTACCTTTTGATGGAATTGCAGTTTACAAACATACATATTTTTTTCGAATAGAATAATTACAAAATATGGATCACAAAGCTATTTACGATATAATATCTTTTTAAACAAATAATTACATTCAATACTCATAGTTTTTAAATAAATTAATAGGAAAGCTTTTTATTAGTATGTGTAAATTTTTAATGTTTTTAGGTTAAGATGTGTACGAAATCAAGTTTTATGTTCAATTATTCTAAGAATTCATTTTATCAACCTGAAATGATTAATAATGCCTAAAATGTATACTATCAAATTTCTCTTTCTTCTTAAATTATACCCTTAGATTAAAGATTCAATTTAAGCATCACATCGTACATTCTGAACATTAATTAAATTTACGAAGACTCTTTAATAGTTTGATTTTACATTTGTAATATGGTTCTCAAATATTGTTTATTTTAATTATAAAAACTGTAGAGGTTACAGCACGGTTTTATGAAGATGTCAATATATTAAACATTTAAAATTTTCAATTAAGAATATAATTATTGGTAATTTGAATTCCTTTTACATCTTTGTCATATTTAACAATAAAAAGCGACTAGAAATTTAATTTTATATATTATTTGAGGATTACAAACTAGGTTTTACTCCAATGATTGGGCGTTTTCCCCCGGAATAATGTACATATATTGTAATCGGTGAGTAATATGACGATACAAATAAGTTACTTTGTGTGTACGAAATTAAGCACACAATTCTCGGAAGTTTGTTGATTAGTTTTGCCATAAACAATTTACTGATTCCTAAGGTCTCAATTTTACAGAAAATAGAAATAGCTACATTCTTCTGCTATTCGTAATTTCAACATAAATTATTGTAAACATAGATTAACTTATGATTTCTCTGTTTGTGCAAATATATGTTTTGCTTTCAATTACAATGTGATTTAAAAGTTTTACATACAACATACACTCTAACACACAATTCTCTAACCCACAGTTCTCATAACAAATGGCATCGTTTTAATAAGTAACAGAGTAATCCGTTACAATCACAATACAATTATTTTAAATTACTTTTATATAAAAAATGGCTAGTATTCAGCCTGTCGACAAAACATTTTATATAAATTAATAATAAACAGTTGTATAATAAATCTTCCCAATTCCCATACTTAAAAGTTAAGGTTGATAATTATAAATATATATATTTCTTTAATTTTGTTTCATAAATTCCATTACATATTTTTAAACAGTACTCGCTGTTATAATACATTACTATTACATTATGTTACTAGTAACTTTCTAAATAGGAACTTGTTTAAAATATAGCACTACGTATGAGATATATTTTTACAAATACCTGACGTACATATATATCATTTTAAGAAAAGGGATATATTAAAAAAAAAATAATATAGTTATGAACCGTTTTACATAAATACAAGGAACATATGCGGGACCTAAATTTCGAGAAAACAAGGTTTTAAATTCATATCAAATATCTATATGAAGATTTTTTAATTGTTCTATTCAAGATATTCATTACGAGTTACGAATATATTCGTTTGAATTGTAGTTCAAATATTTTATTCTGTCAGACATAACATAACAGAGATTGATTGTTTTTTCTTATTTAAAGTTAATTTTAAGTAGTAAAACAAATTAAAAAATCCTACCAACGTACCAACCACCAACGTACCAACCAAGTACCAACAAATCAAGTAGAAATATCTTTATTTCCTTTGAGTGTGATAAAACAAAGTTATTCTAATAGATTAGATTGGATAGACAATTGATTAGATTAGATAGTAAAGGAGGAAATTGGTAGCAAAATTTTACCCGTAAAACTGACTATAACACTTAATTTGTGGTAACATAAATGGTATAATAATTATTATTATTCTTATTCCCACCCTTGTTATATGTTATTTAATTTAAAATGTGCATAACGTCGTACTTGCATTTACTTAATTAAAATGAGTAGCAAGATAAATTTTGATGAAATTAAAATTGAATTTATGGTTGGAGAAAGCAAAATAAATAAACATTCTATTTTAAAATATTTTGTTACTTCATAAGTATAATTATATTCTGCTAATTAATAAAGAATATAATGTTAAATTTAACTCTTTTATCAAAAAAACAAATTTTTTGTGGCTGAAAAATTTTAATCTCAGAAGATCATTTTTGAAAATAAAATTATAATATTTACTAAATATGACATACCTTAGGTGTATTGAAAAAAATATATTAAATAGTGTTTCATTTTACTTTATTTTTATATAAATCCGTGTAATTTAGAGATTACCGGAAGTTTTATTTCCCGTTTTCCGTTTACTCCCTTGCCCTTTCAAAAAATTTCCATATTGATAGACTGTCTTCATTGAATTTGGTTTATTAAACAATTGTTGTTTTATTCCTAGACAAAAAGTTTACTTTAATAAATATAATATGGTATATCATCATCATCAGCCAAAAGACGTCCACTGCAGGACATAGGCCTCCCCCAAGGATCTCCACGACGACCGGTCTTGTGCCAATAATAATATAATATAATCAAAACATTGCTATATTTCATTTATACATCATTGGATTTTTCACAATGAGGATGTCACACACAACGATGTTCATTCAGGAACAAAGATTTCGTTTAGGGGAATATAATAGTCGATCTGAACTTCACAAGCATGATGTTTTTCTGACTTTCATACCTTTCCAGTTTTCAAACATCTTTACCTAAAAATTGACTCCGATGGTTATCGCTTTCTATTATACTAATATTTTAACGATTCTCTCTAGTATATATAATCGATACATAGTATCATGCTTTGCTGTGGTTATGTCTATACTATATTTGTAACGTTCGACATATTAAATGTTTAAAATACTTGAGACAGATTACGACGCTAACAAATATGGTTGTCCTCTGTAAATTAACATATCATTAAAATTTAAAGAGGCGCGATATAATGTAAAGCTTTAAAATAAACTAATAATATTCAGAGGTAACATCTTTGTAATAACATATTTTAAAGCGAATGTAATTTACTTATTGTATTACATTAACAAGTAAGTTTAATAATTCTTTAAGCAGAGCGTCAAATGTAATAAAATTACAGGTAGGTACTCATTTATTTCTATCATTCATATCGAATTAAATGAATACAGTAAAAATTTCGTATTTATATAATTAACATATATTTACTATAAAATAACTTTCAAAAATCAAGAAGGTTGATAATATGTTTAGAATTTTGAAAACTTTGAAAGTTGATAATGATGTTAATTATACTCAAAAAGTTTTTTATATCCCTTTCGGTGACACTGACAAATAAAATAGGGGAAGCAACGACAAACAAGTGGATACTAAGCTTTTTAAACACATTTCAATTGAATTTTCATTAGTTTCCTACATACATAGACTATCTTTGAATAATGTTATTGATGATGTACTCGTGTAAGTCGTTCGGTACGAGGAACATGTTCGAAAAACAGAACAATTACAAAAGAACGTCATATAAATTTTAATAGAAATACTTAATTTGAAAATACTTTTAAAAACTACCAGAATGCGAAAAATAAACATTTTTACAGACTACCGATTTTTTTTTAATAAAATAACCCTCAAATCACATATTTTTTAAAACTAAAATTATTTTAGTGAACAAACTTAGATCAAAAGATTTCTAGACAGATATCATATGTATCTACATTAAATTACACAACATTATATTCCCTGTAGGAATAAAATTAAAATTTAATAAGGATTCATGAAAGAACCCAAACTTATTTGTAATAATTTTTTGTATTGAAAAAGTCTTTAGGTAGATTCGTATAAAGTATAACAGTGTGAAGAAAGATGTCAATGTATCTTCATTACATTCTCAGGAAATAAAAGGGAGACGTCATAAGGAAAACTGCGAGGTCAAAAGGATTGTACCATGTGATTGATACGCTTGGTGTGAGAAACAAAATTGTTCGATGACTACAAGGTAATGAATGATTCATCTTCTTTTGTCATCGTTGAAATACCAAAGTATAACTTCCCTCACTGTATAGAGATTTACATAATATACATAAGAATATGTCTCTATATTAATAGATAATAATATCATTTCCTACTTATGAGTTATGTTTTCATTCGTGTAGGTATTTAGTTTAAAAATTATACTGGTGGAATTAAACAAGTCTGTCTGTGTCACTACAATGTTTAAAATACGGAGTTAGGAGCTGGAAAAAGTGCTTAAAATAAATAAATAATTTTTATTTAAAACAACGCACGGATCACTGAACAGCATTTACTTAAATAACTTCCTTTTCCTAGGAAATTTAACTCATTGCAAGATTATATTGGATTCCACTAAACTATGAATTAGCAGTCGATTTCTAGAAAAGTTAATGAGTCGGATCGAATAACAATAATTTTAAAATAAAGTATATTTAATAACAATGTTTACAATCATCCTACTTACAATTCCAAAGTTATTAGATAGTTATTTGTATAAAAAAAGTGCTAAAGGTTTAAAAGTAAACTGCCAGATGCTTACAATTTCAATTTTTTTTAAAAGAAATGTTAAATTATTAAAAACCTTTTGTTTTCTACATATCTATTTCCTTTACAAATTTTTTCAATAACCAAACTATTAAAAATCCTTTTGCCAGTAATATTACGATTATTGCTTTATTAGGTTATAAAAACATCAAATAAAAAATTGGCAGCAATTAGATAGTTCTTTATAGAACACTATTTTGTTGAGTTCGCTTTCCCACGGCAAATCCATATAATTCCAAAAATGTACTCCCAAAAAACAACAAATCGAAATATGTTTACTCAAATATGGTCTAGAGGAAATAGAGAATAATTTAATTCAACAAGTATGAAGTGTGTGTGGTTGTGTTAATTCTATATCAATTGTAAGTAAACTATGTTTATATTATTTTTGAAAACGTTCTGCTATACCGGCGTTGGATGATGAAAATGAAAAGAAATACCGCGATACGCTGACAGCATTACGTACGACGCGATCCCTTAACGAGGAAATGGAGCGCCTTAAGCAAGAGAACGGTAATGATATCGTTAATGGCTATGTTGTCGTGTTTTTAGGTTAATTGTGGCAAAAATTTCAATTTACTACTTGTGTTATGAAAATAATTACAGAGATTATAATTACATATTATTCTATTCAATGTTATAATTATCGAATAATATATCGAAATTAAAACTCAGCATTTTTAATGTTATTGGCGAATGCAACAAAATACTTCTTATATTCTAAGCGTATTTCCAACGTTTTTCTATTCATTTTCTTTTATTATTATTCACAAAACTCCAGCTAAAAGCAAACAATTACAGAGCGTGAGTAAGCTTTCTCTTTTTTTTGCAAACACAAGTATATTTAAATAATGTATATTTAAACACAAGTATATTTAAATAATGTTAAATAAAGTTCCCATTTACGTCATCGAATGATGGGTATACATAAAAGTCCTTATTACTTTTATACTTTGCCTTATATTAAACTATACTACTCTTTAGTATCCCAATGTATCCATATTATATTCGTATGGTAGTTCGTCTCACAGCCAGACGGATGCAAGTGAAGCGACAGGCTGATGACGTCACAGAAGCCCTACAACAAGCACGCGATCGACGAAACTCACTCCAGCAAGAGACGCGTAGAGAGGAACATGACACAGAGTTACATGTGTACTAATAAATAAATATATTATGATTACTTTAAATATTACCTATAATTAAAAAAATTCGTCGTGGGTCAACAACAGTTTAAGACGTAGTAAAATAGTAAGAAACCAATATTTGAAAAGTCAAAATATTTACAAAATTAAATATAATGTTTGGTGAGACAAATTTTTCTGAGTTATTAGTTACGTAACTACTTTAAAGCACTAATTAATTATTTATTTTGTTACCTTCTAAAACCTTCAGTTCTGATACACTTTTTATAGAGCTTTGGAGAAGAAACTATATTTTTTAATTCTAATATAATACAACGAACATTAGACAAAACTGTCTTGCTTGACGCAAATGCTTTTATTACTATAGAGTTCTTTATTCTCTTAGACGAAGATATGAAGAGAAATCGCAGATCGATTTCTACAAGCCAGTGTTTTACGTGAGTTAAATTGAATTTATCTATTAACACTACTAATAGTGAGTTGGAAATAACGAGGTCATTTATTTTTAAACTCGAAGACGAAGAATTCAAACGTCGCAATGAAGTTAAAGAAATAAAAAACATCCTGGAAGATTTACAAACTGATATCCCTGAAAATATTATGGATATAATGTACTTATTACTTTTATTTTCATACAGTTATATTTTAAATACTTTTACTACTTATCAATACCCTCTAAAATAAGAGAAATAGTTTATGTGTCTTGGCCTATTTCATAAGCAACTAGAGTTACTATATTTTTGTCTCCAAAATTTATTTTTAAAAAGGCATATTATTTTTTTAGCGGCAAAAAGGAACTAGAAAAAGAATTGAAGCAATTATCACAAAGAATTGAAACGTTACGCTCCAAGAGAGACAATCTTTTAAAGAGTCGAGATAACACTTGTATTATTAATCGACATTTTTAATGATTAACTCATTTCTGATGAATTTTGATATATGTAACAAATTTAATATAATAATCTTCGCCAAGAATTCAGAAGCATAAAACTTTCACACTGAAATACTGAATTTATTTTATTTCCATTATACGATTATAACATTTTCCTATTTTTTATTTTTTTACTTAAACATTACTTTAATAGATTTCGCTGTGAAAGGTTTTGTTTGTTCAGTTGTATGTCATTATTTTCATGTACTGGGCAAAAGTTCCGTACATGAAAATTTAGAACCCCAAAATTCTTTTAACGTGTAAAATTTATTAGTGTCGGTGAGTTGAAAGTTATGAATGTGCTGCTAATTTCATTTTCTTTATACAGAATCTGTGACAGGTATTTTGCTTAGTCGTAATTTCTTTTTAATCTCTATTACTCTAGAATACTGATCTAGAAGAAAAGAAGAACATTAATACTTTTCATATTATTTTTATAACTTAAAGAGAGTAAAATTTTAAAAAGTCATACCTATTTGTTTTGATAAAATAAATATTTTTAAAATACACACCCCCTTTTAATCAGCAATTTAAAAAGACTCTTAAATTATTAAAAGGTATAGTATTCCTATGAGTAAATATATTTTTACATTACAGTGAAAGCTTGGAGCCCTAATTATCACGAACATCGCAACTAAGTATAATATGTATACTGAATAAATAGCTCTCAAAAACGCTATTTAGATGTAATCTTATATATAATAATACATATTAATTAAAAATTCTTGGAAGCTTGTTTAGTAGTTAAAACTTATTTATATACATCCTTCATCAACGGCTAAACCTATTTAAAAAAAATTCATATAAATGTCAAAAATGTGAAACTAAAATGGAACAACGAAACCTCTTTGTTAAATTACAATTTGAATGACACAGAGCTGGAATAGAAATAATATTTTCTTTTAAAATATTTAAATGGAAAACTAAAATTAATTAAATGAATCATATCAATCAATCAATTTCAAAATAAAGTTTTATTTGATTATTGAGTTAATTGAACGTCGATTTTAACATCATATATCACAACTCATTGGAGTTCAATGGCGAATTAATCAAACACAAAACAAGTAGAAAATTCGTTTGAAATGCCTTTGATATGTTATAGTTTGGTAAGTTTATTTAAACGAGAGACTTTACGTAGAAACTCTATCGTTGATGTATTTTTGTTCTTATTGTAGCAATTTTGGCTATTAGATGCTTATAACATTTAATTGATACCTCTTTTTTTAAACAATGTTAACATGTAAAGATAAGGAGTTCTTTTAAAAAATTGCAATACAAGCGTCTCCTATTGCAGAGATGTAGCTGACATTCATATTAAACACGTATTGTAGTCTGATTGTAAGAGTAAGAAATGCATAATAATTGGTAATTCAGATTAAGAAAACAATATTTTTATCCACTAATAATATTAAACTTTTATTATTTTATCCATAACAGCTTATCTGATGTGTACTGTTAGTCGGTCAGTCTTGGTCTTAGCTACTCTGCTTTTAACTTTTTGGACCTTTTGACCTTAACACTAAATCATTTGCAGCTGCCTTTGCATAACGTGCGAGAGATTGACATAAAAATTAAAACAAATTATAAAAATTTCACTTTACTATAAAACCTGATATAAAAATTCCGTTCCGTAAATACAAGAGATTTGAAATTGTTGACTTTTAATAATATTATTCATTGTAACGCTTCTGATGAACAGTGTGTTGCTTTGGAAGTTCCACGGGCAAAAGTATTAGGCACCCTACAGTAAGACAAGTTTTAGGGTGTTTTAGCATAGCGAGTGTAAATAAAACTGCATTTATGATTACAATGGTTTATTTTAAGAAAATAATTAATATTTTGTAGGTCCACCTATTGACTTAATAACCGCAGCCACTCTTTTTAGCATTGACTCTACCAGCCTGAAACATTCTTCTCTTGATATATTTTTCCATTCCTGCTGTAACGCGGCCAATAGAGCTTGTTTATTGCTAATCGAGTGCCTGCGGATATTTTTCTTTAAAATGGACCAAATATGCTCAATCGGGTTGAGGTCTGGTGATTGTGGTGGCCAGTCCAAAAGATCAATATGATTTTCAGCAAACCACTTCATGGTATACGCGGACTTGTGGCAAGTGGCGTTGTCTTGCTGATATTTCAGGCCGTCGGTGTTTATATCACCGAAAATTTGCGTTATCGACGTTGCTAGTGCTGTTTCCAGAACTTCAGTGTATTTAACACTATTCATTCGTCCCTCACACAACACCATTTCGCCCACTCCGTCGGCAGCCATGCAGCCCCAGAACATTATTGAGCCTCCACCATGCTTAACAGTGGGAACCACACATTCTGGGTTGTATTCTTCGCCAAACCTTCGCCTAACATAAGTCACACCGGGTGTTCCAAACCACCTATGCCAAACGAAAAAAAACCATTTATTTTCAAAGTTATTATTTTTCTTGCAGTACGTTATTTTAAAAACATTTATGTGTTTTAATATTGTACATAAAATAAATAACAATACCTCAAAGTTAGATTCGTCTGACCGCAGTATGTTGGACCAATCCTCCACTGACCAATCTCTATGTTTGAGTGCCCACTCCAACCGATTTTTCTTATTGTGTTCTGACAGCCACGGCTTCTTCCTTGCTGTACATCCTTTTAATCCAGCTTTAAGAAGTCTTCTTCTCACAGTATAAACACTCACTGAGCTGCCTTTTGCCTCAGATAATGCTGCAGCGAGCTCTAAAGCAGTTTTTTTCCTGTTTTGTAGAGACTGCCTAATCAACAATCGATCTTCCCGTTCAGTAGTAACTTTTCTTCTGCCTGTTCTTGGTCTGTTTTCATGGGTGCCAGTCTCTTTGAGGCGATTTATAGCATATTGAACTGCACATCGCGAGCACTTCACTTCTCGGGCTATTTTAACCTGAGACATGCCTTGTTCATGTAAAATCTTAATTCTTAAACGCTGTTCAGCACTTAGTTCAGATTTTTTCGGCATGATTAACACGTTAAATGTTAGTCTTTAGAATTGTGATAGGAATAGTTGCGTAGAAGACGTGTATGTTCACTGCAAGCACTGATAACACACTATAACCCGAAACGCAAAAAAAGCAAATTCGAAGAAACACCGCTTAGGAGCACACCTGGATGTCATAAATATTTTCTTTTATCTTAATTTGGTTAAAAATTGCCGCTAATACAATAGCTAAACCATAAAACACACACTTGACCGCTATCTAATGAGATAGTGACTAACAATAGGGGTGCCTAATACTTTTGCACGCAGGTATGATTGAAGTTTCTTTAGATTTTTTTATTATTTTAGTTTAACGTGACTGGTCACTAAATACAAATCTCGATAATGAGTTTTATTGTTTATTTGGATAAAAAACAAAATACACTCCCCGTTTTAATAGTATAAAACTTCTATATCAATTTCGAAATATATAACTATTTGTTTTCTTTTTGTTTTTAAATTTTAATTTCCACTTGATATTATTTTTTTTCAAACAAAGTCAATTACTTCAACTAGCCATTGTAACTAAGTATGTTTTACTCATATTATTCCTTCCAGACTCAAATACCAGTTCAGACACATGTTCAGTGATGAATACAGAAGAAATTTTTTTGCATAGTCCTGACGTAATAAACACGGATCAAATTTCTTAGCAAATGAGATCTGAACAATCGTTGCGCTCCTTCCTGTCCTGTACCTCCAAATAAAGGAAATCTGATTCCTTTTCTTACAAGATCGAATCTCTAATAGTATTCTTATTTATCTCATGCTTAGTCTTTGATTGTGTACATGTAAAAAATGATGGGTTTGAAGAAATGTACAAATAAGTTCATCCGTGACTTTTATAGCCAAGACAAATTTATAATTCGTCGTAGTGGTAACTCCGTTTTTTATTAGAGGTGTAATATCAGTTACATTAACAGAAGTGCAATTTAGATTGTTTTGTATATTCGCGGAGCGGGAAGGTGACAGATCGACTTTTCAACTGCAAAACGAACAAGGCAATGTTATTTGTGACTTATCTAAATATCTTATACCTACTATGCCTCTCCTTCCGTATTAAATTTCTATGTAAAAAATATCTTGTAAAAGCTGCTTTTAAATGTTTATCTATTATATCGAAACTTTGACTTTGATGAATCTGTGCATTTAATACTATCCGAGATTTTTAAATCCGGATTGTAGGAGTAAACTGCAAATGATCTAAGCTGGTTTTGAACTCTTATATATACAGGGTGACTGGTGAATTACTATCAATATTTAAGGAGCATACTCGGTACATGATTCTCATTCGAATTATGTAAAAAAAATAGGTACTTAATTTTTGACAAATTTCCGTATAAATAAATAAAGTGTGTACACGTTCCAAGTGTCCCAAGTGTGGACGCCTGCGGCGGCGTGCTGATACAACAACACGCCGCCGCGCGCGAGTGTGTGTGCGTGTGTGTATACCTAATCTGTAGGGTGTTCATACGATGCGTAATTAATTACATAACTTTTGGTTAGCTTTACTTAGAAGTTTATTAATATTTATGTTATATTAATTTTTATTTTGTCATATATGACCGTCAATTATCACGTCCTCAAATATCGATAGTAATTCACCAGTCACCCTGTATAGCTATATTAATTCTTCGTTAGACGATTTGATTTAACCGAATTGCATGTATATAATATCTTTGATAATAATTTTGTGATATTTGCTTATTAGTAAATATTATATGTTACTACTAAACAGCCTTCAATCTATTCATATATTTATATGTATAATGTATATAGATAAATTGGAGTTCCTGTTTGTCATATTGAAATACCCGTTTTTTAATACATACTTATGAATACCACAGATAAAATAAAAAAAAATACAATTGTTTTTTTTCTGTCCGTCTATTTATTCCGGTTAAACTTTCAAATGGATGAACCAATTTTGATAAAACTTTTACAGGCAGATACCGGCCATGTCGGATGCTTCCCATCTCGTCGGAAAAAAAGACACACTGGAGACGGCTGCCTGTTATCCCGAAACCCAAGCTAAAGTGAAGTCGCCAGAAGCTAGAATGGGGGAAAATCCACCTTGCATCCTTGGTTAGATTCACGGCGTCCTTTTTGCTAGTCCGATAAGTTTTGGTGATTAACTAAAGCACTCTTTCAAGGACGTTATCTTAATGTTAGGTTTAAATGTGTATGGCGTTATTCATCGTATAACTTTTCTAAACTTCGTTGTCGATCAACGTAAATTTTTACAAACACAAATATTATAAGAAAAACTCATTGACTATTAATAGTACATGTTTGGTAATTCATATCAAATACACTAACCGTTTCGTCATGTAGGAATTAACATTTTAGATATGTTAATTCCATCTTAACACCATGTCCCATAAGCTTATTTTAACATAGGGGTATAATATATCAAGTCATAGAGTAGTGACAAATGTTTTAGCTAATCAGTGAGCATGTAGTTGATTAGAATATATATCAAAGAAATATTTTACTAATGAGATCTAAGATTTTCGCGAGTACACATTTAAATGAAACTAATATTTAAATGAAACTAAAACCGTGATCACGGTTGCTGAAAAGTAGCCGAAACGTCGGGAGTATGTAGTTTAAAAATAAAACGCGAAGTAAAAATCCGAAAATATTAGTTTCATTTAAATATTTTACTATACGTTAATTTCATATATTCCCTTTTGATTTTTTACAGCACATTATTAAAAAATATATAAAAGAGAGCCATTACTATCTCGATTTTCTAATAAAGATTGAAAATATGTCGGTGATCCTCGATTAATGACGTTGGGTCGAAAGCCTAACCTTTTTTGCCCAAAAGTCAATAGATTTGAACATTTACTTAGGTCTTGAGGTTAACATGTAATTAAAATAAAACATAGGTCGTATAAAGTAAAACAGATCAAATGAGTTACTTGAAATGAAAATAAATTATACGGAAAATTTCTGAAAAGAAATTGTTAGGTGCCAATATTATTAATGTTTATAAATTGCTAATTAAAGGTAAAATCGTGTAAAACAAACTTATCTTATTAAAAAAACAAAGAATGACATCTATAATATGGAGATTACCTACTAATACGGAGATTTCCGATTAAGTTTAGCACACAACATATTATTGAGAAAAAGTCTTTTAAATAATTCTCACCGACCTCAAAAAAAGGAGGAGGCTGTGAATTCATCTATATTTTTTATGTTTGTTACCTAGCAGGTTATTTTCGACCATATAGGGCGGTATAATAAAAAACTCCTAGAAATGTACTTAAATGAAATACAATATATATTTCTTGAACATAATTAAAACCCTTAAAGTTTTGATAAGCTCCCGAGAAACAAAAATATTGACATTCTCCGTTTAATCCTTCATAAATTCAGGAGAGATAAACAAAAACGGGTTTTGAAAAGTGTCACTCCTGGAACAGATTTATACTTTTCATGTATTATATATTTCTAAAACTTATTTGCTTCCGGACATTCCGCTACAAATTATTTTGTACATATAAATGAATGATATTTAAAGAAGTTGTAGAAATACTTCAGGGATACAAGTATTTGTACATTTGTTTGTTTTTTTATTCAAACTCTAATATTTAACTATATCAGGCAAAACTAGATAATTGCATATATGAAATTAAATGAAATAATTTAGAAAATGTTTTAATCGCAAACAGGTATGGAATTTAATATACATAAAATTTTAACTAACATATCCCAGAAGAATTAAGCAAATAGCTAACAATAAATAATTATACAATATAATAATAAAATTGCTATTACTCGTTTTATAATGCATAATATGTATGATAGGTATATCATTAGTGTACTTATTTCTTATAGAAATTTCATCACAATATATCTTGAATTTTCTCGCCCTACTTCATTGCTTGTAACCATATTTCATCCATCATTTTCTTCGTTACATTGTCGTCTCTCCAGATACTATGCACTATGTAATAATGAAATAATGTAGTGAGAAGTAATATAGAAATCAAATCGGATTTTTAAAAATATATTTAGTTTAATTAAAAATATATTACGGACAGCCAAAGTTAAATAGCTCACAGTAACTTTTCTCTTAAGTTACTTTATTAGCTTTGTCTCAATCAATTTATAAAATGATGACTTTTGCACAACTATAATTTAAAACATAATTGGATATTTTAAACATTAATAAACATCTCATGTCGGTACTATAAAATGATTATTTTTCTTATTAATAGATACGAAACAGCGTTTATAGTATAAACTATTTATTGATTTATTTTTAAAAATAAATGGACAGAAAAAATAATGAGGGTTAATGTTTTGCATATTACATGCTGTAATATTTATACTACGGATACCTTTTTGGGTGATAATACATTTTCAACTCAATGTAATTTGTACTCTCTTGATAGAGAGCTGTGATTGCATTCAAACCTAATTGAATATTTGTTTTAACGTGTTATTTATATCGATCTTCTGTTTACTTAAGTTCTATATCAACATGAAATTTAATTCATAAATAAACATGCATCACCTACATAATACATATTGTTTTATTTAATAACGAGTAATAACAGTAATACATACATGAAAACTAAACTATTTATCACCAAACTATTATGTTTGTAGTTACGACGCTAAAAATATGTATAATATTAATTTAAACTAATTTTGATCTTTCTAAGTCTTCCTAAAATGACTTGTAATGTTGCAATACATTTTAAATTTTAAACGAAATATGTTCCCGCATTTTATAAACCTTATTAAGGAGCTAACATGTGACATCGATTGAAATTCGTGCTTTTGAATAATTACTTTATCAAGGTTTGTCTAACAATTTGTTAAGGCTCAAACTTCTCAACCGTAAATTTTTTAACATAAAGATGCTATAGACAACCAACTGTCTCACCTATAAATTCATGAGGCTTTAAAGAATCTTCAGAGGCTTGTAAGAATCCCACCAATGAGGATTTGTGCCTTATAAACGTTGCAAAAAATTTATTAAAATTCCATGTGAAGGTTGTAAAAGGTGATTATCTAAGTAATGTCATGGCTATTACCTTGTTTCTGTTTTGTAATTTGACTCGGTAATAAAAGGATTATGGCTTTTTAAATACGATATTTTTAAGCACTTTTATTCATTTTGAGGTACGTATACTAAAGTACGAAATTGTTTTAGATACTCCCTTTTCTTTTTTCAAATCTTATTATATTTGACAGAACTACGAGTATAGTGTAATTTAATTCACAGCGAAACAGTCACACAAACTCTATTTATTTGCTTAAGAAAATATTAATCAAGAAAAACAGTTGATAAAATAAATAGGCTTTAACGAATAAATTAATGTGTTCTTGTTTTATGTTTAACATAAATGTATTAAATGTGGAAGTGATCTTTTAAATTGTATGTGGTTGTAATTTTTGCCGGCAGTCTCAGCACGAGAAAAAAAAGGCATATTAAACCTCCTTCTAAAAAATTCACGTTATTAAATAATAAATCAGTTTACTTTTTTTTTTCTTCTATTACTTAGTTATTATAACTGTTATTATAGGTTATAGACTCTAAATTGAAACAGATTCTAAATATGTATATTACATTTTTCTAACATAAGTATAACTCATAATTTTCAGGAAACCTTAGAAATTTATGAAAATATTATGGTTTCGATTTACGAAAATCCTAACTTTTTTCCTCTTCATTATTTACTTAGCATATAAGTTAATTTGATATTCAAAGTCTCACGAGATATTTGTAAGTTAATGTTTTATATAAAACCTCAATAAAACGTAAATTGAATACGAAAGCCATATTTATCATTCTTTAATATTCAATGACTTCTGAAGTACCGATATATATATTTTAAAACTTTACAATAATTAATTTGTATTTACGATTTCAAATATTTTAACTTCTGAATGATTTGAACTTAGTAATTTAATCATATCTAATTTAGTATTTTTAATTTTTGTTATAGTCAGTTAATCTAGTATTATAAGTTTATACTTCTATTTTTATTATCTCACATATGTCTTTTTTTTATATGTTAAGGGGGGCAACCGAGCAGATTACCTACCTGATGGAGGTAGTACCGTCACCCATGGACATCCGCGACATAAGACATGTTGCGGATGTGCCACCACCCTTGATTTGGGAATTGGGGGGAGGGGGGAATGGAAAGGGGAGGAAAAAGGGAAGGGGTAGGAAAGGATGGGAAAAGGGAAAGGGTAACCGGCTCTCTAACTCATCGAACGAAATGCAGCCACTAAGGCTACTTCACGCCGATCTTCTGTGAGAGGGTGGTACTTCCCCGGTCGAGCCAGCCCATGTTCGAGCTGCAATCTCTTGACCACGCTAGGCTCTACCACCTTAATAATATACGGCCACCTTATTACCATATGGCAATGCCATATTTGTTTTGTTGTTTTTTTTTATTAATCTTTTTCTCAGCCTACAGCTTTATTTTGATCTTCTACATGCCTACAGTTAACTGGTATATCACTCATTAAGCTCTCCTTTTGTACAAAGATGATAAATAAATATTATTTACTAACACTTTTTGTTTATTCAAATCAGGATGTTACCATTAAAAAACAACATATGATTTACATTTTATGTTACATTCGCGATACAGTCATTTACATATCATGGGTGTCAAGTGTTTTACTTTCGGCTTATGCTTACTTATCATTACCATACAGGAATTAAACTCTTTGTTGTCATACAATGTTTACAAATTCCATAGTTTTTAGAATATGTATCTAAGAAATATTATCTATAGTAAATAACATATCAAAGAATAACGTTATATAAAAGAATGCAATCAGTTGCAATCAGTCAATTAATGTATTTGAATTTCTATTTACAAGGAAGTATGTACCATTATTGATTAGATAATAACAAGACATCAAGAACATTTCAAGAACTTATTGTATGTATATGATGTAGTTAAATCAAGATTAACACAAATATTTAATAGATTTAGAAGAAATTGTCCAATTCAATATGAACTATAATGTATTTTATATTTTCTTACAGTTAAATAATTTCTGTAAAAAGTACACCCATCAGTTGCTAACAAGAAATCTGACATAC